TGTCTCTTCAATCCTCTGTTTTTGTGCTTAAATAAACTATATGAAATGTGAAAATTCCTCTAAAGAATTATTGATAATACCCTGGAAATCATTAACTGCAAAACTTAAGATTGATGCATGTCATCCAATTTGTTGCATCTGATCAGTCCCAAAATCAAAACTAGGGATGAAATTTTTGAAAGATCTATCCAAGACTTTTCAAGGAAAAGAATAACAAACTCTCGCCATCAAATTCCAAGATGATCAATTTCAAAATCAAAGGGGCACAACTAGGAAGCAATGGGAACTTGCATACAAAATTTGAAAAATATCCATCCAGCACTTCTCAGTAAAAAGTGATGACAATCTTTCATTGTCAAACTCCAAGATGGCCGCCAGTTGACCATTTCCTTTTTTGATTAGTCCAAAAAATCAAAAGGGCACTACTTTAGGGACCAAGGGAACCTGCAAATGAAATTTGAGAGAGATGTGTCCACTGCTAAAGAAAGAATGATAAAAAAAAATTGATAGATTGTGGATGAAAGGCATTTTGAATAGCCAATCATCTGATGATAATGGGCAATACATAAAAAAAAATAATAATAAATAAGATTGTAATAGCTTTATTCTAAAAGCAAATTTTAGTAACAACATTAAAATTTCACAATTAACACTATAATTATGCATCACTGACAAGTTCATAAGATATATTTTCATGTACTACCTTCATACATAAATCCCCTAACTTCAGAGTTACTTCCTTTTATTTTTTGTATACTGCAGTGTATCTTGTAAACAGAAAAGGAGATGAAATTTCAATTTGAACTCTTTACCATATAAATGCATGTTGCATTGCAATTAAAAAAAAACTGGAGTGTAATTAAGAAACATATTTTAAATAATTTTTATATAAAGATTTCATTTTTTTAAAGAGGAGATAACTCTGCAACAACATTCTCTATGTACAACATGTTAATCTGTGATATCTGAGTCCTGAAATATATCAAAATATAAGGTAAAGCACAGGTAACATTTGAATGAATGTGCCAAATCAAAATCAAGAAAGATGTCATGAATGTTCATTGTAGTGTAACAATATAACCAGTGAATCTGTTTGTATGGAGATTACATATCAAAAACGTTTAAGAGAAATGAATGGCTGAGTATTCAAGCTTGAACTTCACACCTAAATATACAATGTCTATGACAAATTTATACCTAGCTGCCATATTAACGTACAATGTTACCACATAATAAACAGCAATGAGATCAGATTTGGAAATACAAACATCAACATAATTCAGATAACAGTCGTAATTTAACAACTTACGGTTACTAAACCACTCCCATCCTCGATACTCCAGAGGTTACAATCACTATCGCTCTCTACACCTGTGGAACATGTCACGGCAGAATTGAAGACTTTGATTGGTTTAGAGCGGATTTCATAAGGAAAAAACAGACTGATATGTTCCTTAGAAGATTACGGAGACAGCACACCTAACTTTAAAGCCAACTTTAAAGATTCGATGATGTACATCAAAGAATCAAACTAGTCTTTTTGTCTTCTCCACAAGATGTTGCACATGAAACCACCAATTTTGTCTTGTCCACGAGGTGTTGCACATGAAACCTTCATTTTTGCCATGATAAACATCGACCTAGTAATGGAACAGTAAAACCTGTCTTATCTGACACTCACTAGGACAAAAGTAAAGAGGTCAAATTATTCAGGTTATCAGAATACTCAGGTTCAGTTTTCTTGCTTTAGTATGATTTCAGTAGTATATTTAAAAGGCTGGATGCCATATTCCACAGAGGTCAGATCTGACAGGTTTCACTGTATAGAAATAGCATTTCAACATTACATCTTCTTCAATGTTCTGATAAGTATTATGTAGTTGCAATGTATTCATAATATCATAATTCCTGATCATACCTTAATTATGCATGGTAACTAAGATAAACATGGCTCTCTTCCCCTTGAAATAAACAATCATTTACGTACAGGTACACATGTACCAGAAACAGTCCTCGTATAAAACCAGTATAACTGATGATATACCCCTATCTTTAACAATGTGTTTTGTGTCAGCAGTGTCGCAAGCCTCCTATCATCTAATACCTAATAGGGTGTCACATTAAGGAAAAAGATTTTATCTCAGTTATATATATAGTTGTCACTTCTGTCTGTATTTAGAAGATGTGCTATGTTTTATTTGTATAATATAATGACTATATAAGATCAAAAAGTTTATTTCCTAATTTTAAAAATTGATTAAATGTAAATAAATATCAGGCGATTCCAGCATTTTTGTGATTTGAGCAGGTCATTATATATCCAATATCAAAGTTGACCTGATGAAATCAGGTGAATTGGCAACACTGTTTAATACCTATATGTGACAGCGACCTTATGAAGTGTTAACATACAAATCAAACATCTACCATTATTGTTCCAAAATGAAATTTCTTGAGTTTTAAAATTCTGCTAACAGTATTCTATGATAATGTGTTGCCCTGGTTTCCTGATGACTGAACACCATTAATAGAATAACTTCCAACTTTTAAGTATCACCAAAGAAGGTGTGACCATGTAAATGCAATGTACTTGCACAATGAAATGAAATCTCAATCTTGAGTAATATATAATTAATTATGTCAGTATTTTTATAAAATAGAATTCTATTATTCCTAACATCATTATGAAAACAATTTACTATCATATAAATAGAATTCTAATCTCACATATACATATATTCATTGTATATTAAAAAAAAACAAACAATGAAAATGATTTCCATCATATTGTTTTCATTACATGCAACTATCAAAGCACCACTGATCACAGGGAAAAACACACAATCTATCTAACAGCAGAGATTCAACAAAATAAACTTCAATTTCTAACATCAATGGTTTGGTGGCACAGTGGTAATGCGCTCGCCATTTACCTAGCCGTCTGGGGTTTGTTTCCTGGAACGGACGTGAAAAGGTAAGGGAACCACGTGGGTTTTCCCTGAGTACTCCGGTTTCCTCCCACAATAAACCTATAATGCGCTTACATCTGGGCCAACAAGAGTGATTAGTATAAGTTGAAATAACTCGTATCGCAATTGTTGTAAAATAGATAAAGTTGATATTAATTTTTAACATACCATTTTCTCTTCAAAATCTACATTTGAAAATCACACAAACATGTAGATTTGAGATTAAAATATTTTGAAATAATGAGTACTTAAGTGGTACATGTATATGATATATATATATGTTATACCTCATGACATCATTGCAACATAACGTTTTTGTTTTAGATAAAAAAAATCTCCATTTCATGAAAAAACATTGGTATGGTCTTTTTCTAGCACCAAACAGTTACATAAAATCAGCTGTAAGGTCTATACCATAAGGGGAGATAATCTGGTCTCAAATCCAGATAGTGCAAGACAATGGTGACCCAACATTGGGATAACGATGTGAAAAATCTCTCTAAACCAAACATATATGATATATCAAATTTGTATATATATGTTGTCTTAAGGAAAAGTTTATAAAATATGATGCAGCCATACATTATACTGGCCTACACTTGAAAATATGAAGAAAAACAAATATGGAAATCAAAGAGCAAAGATATGCAGGTTATCAAAAAGAGTTAAAATTTGAATGATCCATACAAGTTTCTAGATCAAGTATAATTAAGTACACTGCATTACAAATGAAATTGAAGTTTCAAAAAAGTGTAACAGTGGAAATGTGTCTAACAGAAGAAAACAAAAAACTTTTCAACTTTTACCTACAAATACTCGTTATTCCTATGATGAAAGAGCATCTATCGAAATGTAATGATACAGTCTGAGGAAACACTACACATTTATTGACTGGGTTTGAGGTCAACATGTGTTATGTTGAACCAGAGGACTTAACAGTTGTCTGAGGCCAAAGGCAACAGTTTGGTTTTATAAGTTTCCTTATCTAATTTCAACCCGATAAGAAGTTATATTTGGCAAAATAAATGTCTATAGTGTAAATAGTAAATGTGTTAAGTATTCATAATTCTGATGTTTCATAAGACTGTCATAATTTCATTTTCACAGGAGGAAATAACATTGTAATGTTTCAAGATTATTCTGGTAGCTTGTATTCCATCTATAATTAATACAGAGTTATCTGCTTCTGTAAGCAGGTATTGACTGCTATGTCATTTTTTTGTGAGAGCAATTTCCTGAGAAATCAAAGCAATTTTCTTGTGCAAATTTATGACGTAACAATTAAAACCTGTACCCAAGAGAAATTAACTCTGTTTTACAAAAAAAAAAAAAAAATGCAATTGGTTTGCGTAGAGAAATATTTGAGGAAGAAGCATGTTAACTACCTACTTGTAACCTAAAAAGATATAAAAAGAGATAAAAAAAGATTTAGAAAAACATAAAAACAAGCAAAATAAATGATTTTTTTCAAGATATCTACTTAAGAATATAGGACAAACATCTACTGAAAGTTTAAACCTTATGACTAGCAAATTACTTTGGCAATGTGTACAATATATGCAATACTTACTGTTTAAATGAAAATATATGTAACATTAAAAAAATGTGAAATTAAATTTGTCTGAAAAATTTGTTTCCGGCATAGATATTCCTTAGGAGATTAATTTCATATAAAACTTTTTATTTATGTTTTATAAGTTGTCAATTCAACCTAGCCAGTTATAGATTTTAACACCATTGTTTCTTGCAAAAATTATTTTGATCAGAGCACTTCAGTGTGCAAAAGCTTCAAGTTCTTGTGTCTTTTTCACATTTACAGTCGGCAAACATGCGATACATTCTAAAAGTTACTGAACCTTGATGCACAGAAAAAACAATGATTATGTTTACTGCCTTACTTGGTAAAGCAGAATAAGAATTGAAATGTCTTGTAATGTTGTACAATCAAAAATCAGTTCATTATACCACTAAAAAAAAACAAAAAAAAACATGTAAACTATTTTATGCATTAACAGAATAAAAATTGTTTTGGCCAGTAATAAGTAACAATTGAGCAAATTATAAATTAAAAACAACTTTATTGACCAGTTTCAAATTTAAATTTGAAAATTGTTTTTTTTTAATTTTTTGCTGTACATATGATGTTTAAGTATCATCACTTACAACACTCTCATCTGAACGAGGCAGATGAACTTGATGTTTGAAATATTTCCTTTCACTCTCGATTCCCGCGTCCACTTCCAGTGTTGCGAGCTCCTCCAGACAGAGTTTATGCTGCTCTCTGATCTCATGCATTATGTCATCATGCTGTCGGCAAAATTCTTGAATTCCGAACTAAAAGTAGACCAGTGAATCAAATGTGAATCACAAATCTTTTTTTATTCTTCAATTTTCTTTTATTTATTATTATAAAGTTTTATCAGAATTTCAGAACTCCATTTATCCAGCAATTATAATTATATAATTACTATTGTATTGTCCTGTAATAAGCCCACCACCCTTGGATCAGAAGTTATAAATGAATATGTTGACCTCCGGGCTGATTGTAGATTAGTTACAGTGAAATGTACTTACTGTATCTGTATGTCTTGGAGATTTTAACAATCTGAAACATGTAAGAAAGAATTATGACCACTAGGAACGGGAAAATAAATCAAAACGTAGTGAAAACAAAGCATTAAAATTCATAAAAACACCGAGTGACGTTTCTGAGCTGTATTCTACCATAGAAAGCTTACTTGCATACACCTGCATGGACTTAAATCACAACAGATCTACTGAAATGATCAGTGGTATGCTACACACTGCCTAAAAACGATATAATTTTTTGTTTCTTTGTTTGTTGGTGTTTTTTTTCGAGACACCATTCTAATGGTATTTAATATATATGAGTGTACCGCTCATCTAATTTCACACAAAAGAAAAATTTACAACACTTTATGTGCCATAGACAACACTTTCACCGAGAAGGACCAATTTAAATCCTGTTTAGGTCAGGAATTGAATTAGCATCAATCTGCATACTGGCTGATCATGATTTCAAACAACCAAAGACTTTGCAGCTAAAAGATGGTATATACCGATATTTTTTTATTTCAAAAGGATCAATTTTTAAACCATTACCAAGGACATACTTTTTTTGATAACGAACTTGATTTTGTAAATAACTGTAAACGTACATGTTCTAGCTAAGTTTCACTTTACCACTTTTTGCATTAAACATATTTTACTGATTGCACTCTTTGTATGTTGTAAAAAACTGTAAGAAAAAGTGTGAAAGTACAAATTCATTTTTTATGGCACTAATTGGTCCAAAATTTCTGTTGCGCTGACTTTTTAATACGCCAAAATAAAAACATTTATATATGAATAATAACAAAGATTTACCAATACATTTCTAACTGATGGTCAAATACAGTACCAGGAGTCTTTATTCCGAAATGGAAGGATTGGCAAGTGGCCTGGAAATTTGAAAGGGTAAAAAGAGTAGATGATGCAGAGCTTGAAATGATTTCTGATTGAAGAATCAGAATACACTCACCTTTCAGGAATCAGAGCCATTGTTTGTGCGTGTGTAAGTCTATATTTGTCAATCTCTGCTTGGTACTTTACTATTGAACAGTCGGTTTCCAGTGTCCCAATACCTGTAAATGTGTCAAAGACATAGCTGGTGAGATCAAGGTACTTGAAAAACTGGAATATCTGCATTCTTTGTACAAGGCATAGTGTTATTGAGTGCAAAAAGCCAATTTCATTCTTTGATTTTTTTTTTTTTTAATTAATTTTTTATTTCACAAGTACACGGTGTGTAACAAATATTTGCCATTGCTCAATTTTCTAAATATCATAAAAATCTAGAGCAAAGTTTTCACTGTCTTGATGTCACTTTTACAATCAATGAGACATATACACTGGAGCCTCTTTATCTCAAACACTTGAAACTCGAAGACCAAGTTTAATGCAAAGCGTTTTGTTGATCCCAGCCTAACTTTACACAAAACATTAGCACTCACTTAAACTGAATGCTTGGTTGTCTCAAAAATTTCCCAAGGTCCCACCAAGTGTGAGATTTAAGGTTCAACTGCATTGATATACAGAATCAAAATGTACCTATCATTCCTTTATCAGAGTAAATTAAATTTTCATCAATTTCTAAGTAAGCCCAGTGTAAAGAAATACTGTCACCTTTCAGCAATTCTTCCAGTTCTTTGATCTCCCTCCTTATAATACCAGATGTCCTCTTTCCTTGAAAACGTCTACAACGGAAAATTGATTATGATGGAAAAGATCAATTATGGTACATAGATATTAGGTTAAGATGGTGCTAACGCCTGAAGTAAAAATTTACTGATAAAAAAAATTCTATACAAAATAAACTCATACCCCTCCCTCAAGTTTGAGATGAGTTATGACTTATATTCTCTTTTTTATTCAGATAAGAAGCAAACTGATATTGAAATATACACTAAATGTGTTGTTTTTGTTTTGAGCTTTTGCTGTGAGCAATATTTTGGCATGTCTATTTTTCAACTGTCGGTACACATGTGTCAATATGTATTTAATCATGGTCATGTTAGAGTACTGATATAAATCCAACATCCCATAATAGTTACATTTATTTCATAAACACACTAAAATTCAATCCTTCCAAAAAATTATGAAGACTGAGATTTCTTTTCATTGTACAAAAGAAGAGATAAAAAAAATTCTTTCTAAAAACTTTCGTCCACATGGTGCTTTTTACTCACGGAATCATAATAAAATATGAAACCTACAAAGAAAAATCTGAGTTTTTTGTTTATTTTTCTCAGCATTAGGCATGAAATCGATATAAAAACACAAAAAGTGCAATGTTAATGTAAAACAACCATTACCAGACACTATAGTTCTAAAATCTATAACCACCACTAGTGATAATGGTGGATCGCACAAAATAAAAGGAATAACACAGAATTTAGATCTAATAAACGACGATCTGTCCTATAAGGACTAGTAAAACACCTATACCTACAGAGTACATCAAATTCTATTCACTTCCTTTTAAACCAAAGAAAGCTTTATTTGTTTGTTTACAACCAGAGTTACTTGAGACAGAATCTGATTGTAGCATTGTAGAGGCGGCTACCACATTGAATATCATGCAGAAGGGCCATCACATGCAATTAAGAGCAATCAGAGGAATGTGTCTAGAACAAGGACACAACCACAACTGCATAGGACAGTCCATGATCTAAAAACTGCCCTGGGTAGGAATTGAACCATACACCTCAGATATCTTCACTTGAAGTTATAAAGTCCTCTGTTCTAACAACTGAGGTGCCATGGATCTGTCTAAATATAGCACATGCATTAAACGACATGCATGCTGAAATATAAGTCATGCAGAACTGGAAAAAAATACACGTATGAAAAATAGCAAGCTCTTTAACTGGCAGCTTCGAGTGCAGTTTATGACAGCATCACACATCCAATTGGCCTTGACCTTTGACATTCAAGTATAAAATACTTGGTAACAATGGTAACTGTTTTAAACAATTAATGGCATTTGCAGTTCATAGCTTTTGTTGGAAATCTCTGTGATAGAAACCAGAAGAAATCAGAAGGAAAACAAAAAGAAAACAACAAGATGGCCTTTACTGTCACCTCAGTGACAATGCTTTTGTCTTAGAAATAATCTTGTTAACAAGGTAAGATAATCAAACTACATTGTACATGTAAAATGTGCCACTCCATAATAATGCTTCTAACCATGTTGGAGTTACAAGAGATAAATTCATCCATCCACGAAGAATTTATCCTACCATGAATCTGGGTATCTAGAAGATTTTTGAAATTTGAGTAATTTTGACCCCATTTTAGCCTCATCATCAGCCCCTGGGGTCAACCAGGATCAATATCAATTATACCATAAAATTGTCATCTTATACTAATAAACATCTAACAATGTTTGAATTATTTCCCACGAAAATCAATTAAATAATGTTTAACAAGAGGTCCATTGGCCTTTACAGTCATCTGACTATAAAGACCTTATATATGACAGAGACCAAATGCTTCCACCACTAAGTCAATTTCTGCAAACTTGAAATTCTATTCCTTTGTACATGCTAATATACAAATACCACGACTTATGACCAATTGCTTGTTGAAAGAAGAAATTTTCAAGTTCTCAAAATATTCCCGTCTTTAGAGGGCTTGATACAGAAATATTGGGAGGAATATAAGAAATTTAGTTAAAATCTTCTGTAAGGAACTGCAGACTGACCGACTGACCAACAGACCGACCAACTGACTGAAAGGCAGACATACAGACAGACAGACAGACAGACATACAGAAAGACAGACAGACAGACAAATACCAGAATGACCTAGAAATAAAATTGAATAAATCTGAAAACAATAGTGAAAATGTATCTCTAGCTTTCATTAGCACATGCATCTTGCTATAAATGTAATGAAAAAACATAATGTATATAAGAAGACAGAAAAGTACGACAGTGTGTTGATGGTGCCGAGAAAATGATCTCTAATATAGCCCACACAGACAGTTTCCATGCTACATATACCACTATAGACTTAAGTGCTTCTAGACCATCACAGGTGCTACTACAAACCTTCGAGTTTTTTTTCTGGATAAAAATGAACAAATGTCAAAATGATATAATGTTTTATATACTACAGCTATGAAAATAAATAAAAATCGAATTTAAAGACTTGCTGAAACAGAGAAAATAATTGCATTTCTATACAATGTATGTTTGAAGGATCTATGCATTCAAGATAAGAAAATAACAGAAAAAAAGTTGTGGTAAAAATATTCATCTGCTTCTTGTGAGTTCCTGGTAAGTTTTCAAACTTTCCACAGAAAGTATTCCTCTTCATACCGTAATTCATGAATCTTTCATTTATTTGGATATTGATAAAGTGAATCAAATTGGTTCGCAAATTGTAGAGAACAAATTATCAAAAATTTATGTTCTCTAAATAAAATGGAAGTGTTGTCCATATGAGCAAAAGCAGAAAAACAAATTTTCTATTTATAGTAACAGTAGCCTTGACCTTAAACTTTCCCACCTATAACAATCCAAAGCGAATATGTTTTGGTAAGAAAACACTGTATGAAATTTGACCCAAGGAAACTCGACAAGTCAAATACAGATATCTGACAACAATAATGGTACAATGTTGATCTCTATATGTTACATTTACAGGCGACATCACCAAATATATTATTTGTGACATTGTCACTATATATATTTTTCATGTACCTACACTGTAAACAGACAGCATTTCTGTTTTAAAAAGCAGATTTAACTCTAAGCCAAAACATAAAGATTTATTACAGATAAATAAGATATTGATCGAATGACTCTTCTTTTGTAAGTGCTAAACTTTGACACATATCTCAGACTTTTCTGTATGCTCATATAAAATATGTACATTACTATCATATCTTATTTTTACTACACCAGGGTTAAATCCAATATTTATTGTAGACTTTGGTATAAATAACTGTCACTAGAACCTCATTCTCATCAGCTGAAATTAATATCTAAGGTAGATCATCAAGAAAATTATGAATTAAAAGTTTTCCATATCGAGGAAAAAGTTCCAAAATTGTGGTCCTTTAGATTATTCCACTGTTACAAACTTAAAATCCTTTAAATTATTCCAATGTTACAAACTTAAAATCCTATAAATTATTCCACTGTTACAAACTTAAACTCCTTAGGATTATTCCACTGTTACAAACTTAAACTCCTTAGGATTATTCCACTGTTACAAACTTAAACTCCTTAGGATTATTCCACTGTTACAAACTTAAATCCTATAAATTATTCCACTGTTACAAACTTAAAATCCTTTAGATTATTCCACTGTTACAAACTTAAAATCCTATAAATTATTCCACTGTTACAAACTTAAACTCCTTAGGATTATTCCACTGTTACAAACTTAAACTCCTTAGGATTATTCCACTGTTACAAACTTAAAATCCTTTAGATTATTCCACTGTTACAAACTTAAAATCCATATTTTATTTGATGTCCTTCTGAAAATGAGTGTCACATTATGGTATTTGGTTCCACATATGCCTGAAATTTAAAGATATCATTGTTGAAATAAATTTTGATTAATTTAAGTGAGAATACATACTCGTGCAATATACTGCCATCTTCTCCATAAATACGACTGTGACTTTTGCTGTGTTCACAAACCCAGTCCTCAACTAAAGGCTTTTTATTCTACAAAATACCAAAACCACCAACCATTTAACAGTCAAATCTTACACAGAAGTCTTAAAACTTTCACCTTGATGATAAATCTTGAAATATCTCACAGCTAGTTAGAATATTGTAAAATTCTTAATCAATTTACTGTGTAATGAAAACAACAAATCATTGTATTTTGATAAAGTTTTATGTTTGTAGTGCTGATAAAGAGGTTTGACTGTAAATTTGCATACAAGGGACAATACATGTTAATTTACATATTAATGTATGTGACATACAAACTGAATGATACAATGTATGTTACATACATATCAGTGATCAAGCACTGATGTTTGGATGGTTAAACAAATGTAGTGACATTACATATAACCAGATACCATACACAAAACATGCTACAAATAATATACACTTATTGACAGCTAAGAATATGTTATATATACAACCAAAACATGAGTTGGTATTATTCAGCTTATCTGTAATAAGCCCAAAGGGGTTGGGGTTGGGGGGTGGGGGACTGGGGGAGGGGCAGGGGAAGAAGGGGCAAGGAAAACTCAAAGTTAAGTGTATTGACTTGGCTTACGGGTGGAGAATGATAAAATACCTTGGTAACAGTTGCTAGTATTTTTACTGGGTTGGGGTATTATCAGATATGAGTTAATTGCTGACTGTATTTAATAAAATGGGGCAGACATGTTGTGTTGACCTCTGATTACTATAAGTCTGATAACAGGATGGACATTTTTTTAAAAATCAAACATAAATTGATTAAAAGTGATCTTTCTTTCTTGAATTTCAATTAAACAATAGCAGTCAGTGGGTTTTAATAGTCTGTTACATAACATAACATAAACAATAGCAGTCAGTGGGTTTTAATAGTCTGTTACATAACATAACATAACATAACATAACATAACATAACATAACATAACACATAACACATAACATAACATAACATAACATAACATAACATAACATAACATAACACATAACATAACACATAACATATCATAACATAACATAACACATAACATTACATAACATAACATAACACATAACATAACATAACACATAACATAACATAACATAACATAACATAACATAACATAACATAACATAACACATAACACATAACATAACATAACATAACATAACATAACATAACATAACATAACACATAACATAACACATAACATAACATAACACATAACACATAACATAACATAACATAACACATAACATAACACATAACATAACATAACACAACATAACACATAACATAACATAACATAACATAACACAACACATAACACAACACATAACACAATATAACACATAACATAACACAACATAACATTACATAACATAACACAACACATAACACATAACACATAACATAACATAACACATAACATAACATAACATAACATAACAGGTCATTATGACAAGATTCATGTTGCAATTGATTGCTATTACATGTATAGGTCCGTATTTCCGCACCTGAGTATAAGCGGCACGGCTAGTTTTAAGCAATTTTTTTTTTTCCATTTGATCCACATATAAGATGCACATGAATATAAACTGCACCCTTTCTTACAATGTGGTAACCGTAAAGTTTGTTGACATAACAGACAATGGGTATATAACTGGTACAGGCAGGATAACATTTACCAAAACATATATATTGGATATGTATTGGTATCGGATATGTGAAGGATAAACCGAGAAATAAATCACTAAAGTTCAAATTTGCAAAATCTTGGAAACATTTTAAAAAGGGAGTAAAAAATACTGGACTAAATTTTACCAAATATTTACTATAAATCTACACTGATTGTGAAAAATTGGCGACTTTTATTTATCATTTAATCAGTAAAGACTGTGTTGACGTTTATCTACAATATCAAGAAATATAACAGGCTGCTTTTGATATTTTAGTTTTGTCAAAACACTGGAGAAGCCAATCGACAGGCTCTGTTAAATAAGCACCATGTGTAAACAAGAGATAGGGTTGTGTCATCTTTACTGTTTCATCACTTACAGGCTGTGAATTACTTCCCTTTATGAAATGGACTTGCAGGTCCCCTGGGGTTGACAAAATATGAAAAGTACGAAAAGAAAATATTTCTAAATTGCTTTGAATTTAGATATTTGTAAAATATGCTTCTTGATTATATCTATACTTACAAATGAAGGGTGTTCATATTTCTTTGGTGTCTGAAATGTAAAACAAACAAAAATTTAATCAACATTAAACTAGTTGGACGCTACTTAACAAGCATAAAAAAAGAATATATGTATTTTATATCATAACCCTGCATTGACAGATATCTCTATTGTCTCCTGCTTGTATGATATTTGTATTTAAATATATATTCATATACAACCATATTTAATTTCCATGTATATTGTCTACTAATGTATTATTCCCTATGAAATCCAGATTTAAATATAAACTTTTTTATTGTACAACAATTGTAAAACAAGTTATTTCAAATTATACTAATCACTCTTATTGGCCCAGATGTACTGGTTAGCATGTAAGGGGTCTAACTGTGGGAGGAAACCGGAGTAACTTGGGAAAACCCACACAGTCAGGCAGATGACCTCTAACATAGCCATGGTAAAGAGAAGCACTACAGCATTTTCTTACTAATGAACTTTTTATCATCAATTTTTTTTTCTAATCACCCAGATTCATTCATATTAACACATAAATAGCAAAAATAATGTCTGGGGTTGGGGAAATTTTGGGTGGGGCAAGAGGGTTCACTTCACCATGGCCATGGTAAAGTGAAGCATTATACTTTTTTCTTACTAATGAACTTTTAAAATAAATACAATATAAAGGTAAGTTAAAAATGCTGAATTTGTGAACAGCTTGAGAACAATACCTCCGGAGGAAGGATTTTTTCCTTATATGGTAACTCTTCTTCCATGCTCTGAGGAGGGGGAACCTCTGGGATGTCTGTCAGATCCTGTCCTATCAAGGATGGCAAGAACACCAGACATTTCTTTGGATCTACACCGATAAGCTCTTCCATTACATCTTCCATTAGCCAGGGCCTTAGTGGCTCCAAATCTTCTGGTATAGGCCTGTGTTATAAAACCATCAAATCAATATATGTTATACTTAATCATGTTAGTTAAATCATCACATACAAAATGTACTGATTATGGTCTTCTGAAGACTAGAAAGGTAGCTGTTTTAAAGAACAATGGCATTAATCAACTTGATCTCATAAAAATAATTTGATGATTTTTGTCTTGCATTTAATTTACAAACAGATGTATCTAAATTTTCAATTTTTGATACAAATAGAGCATTGAAAGTAATTACTATACATAATTCTGTGTATGAGGAAATATTATTTAAGTCATCGTCTCCTGAGATCTTTTACCTTTTCCTGTCCTCTGATCCATCTGTAATCTGGAGCATGCCTTGTGGTTCTGTTGATAACTTATAAGGAAAATTCTCTGTAGTACTTGGACTGTCAGACTCATCAGCAGAGCTACCAAATATCTGTCTCTTTTTCTCTAAGCCAAACACTGATGGTTTTAAACGACCTTCTTTTTCTTTGTCTTTTTCATCACTAAGCTCCTTAGTTACATTTGTATCGGTAGAAAAAACATCATTCAATACACTTTTCTCAGCCATTTTATTTGTACAGGGTGTATGGAATGGTTTTAATTTTGGTTCATTTTCTACATGTTTAGAATTCACAGGTTGCTGGTAGTTATACACAGGAACGGGTGCGTCACCGCCGATATCAACAACAGGCATCTGCCTTCCATTGATAGGAACCATTGCCATTTCGCAAGCATCAGCAGCAATTTCTTCATTGTTATTGATTTCTAGGTTTCCTAAACCTTTATGAATGTTTAAAACTGATGAATCATTACTATATTTATATTGCTGACTAGAATATCTACTTCTCGCACTATTTGTCCTTTTGGCAGATGGAATTCTCTTTTTTGTTGTATTTTTATGTAAAACAGATGATGAACATCTTGGTGTAGTTCTTTCATGACCACTATGATTCAATGACCCATTTACAGCGAGGTTCACTGATCCATGAACTGCGGCATCACTGTGATTCACTGATCCATTCACGACTGCACTGTATGGTCTGTTCACTGTTTTCCTTTCAGTGTCTTTGACAACATTAACATCAGCACCATTTCTGAAATATTGAGCATTCTTTTCCAATCGTCCTGTTGCACTTTGTGCCCTGTTTAAAATCTTTGATTTGCTTACAGATGTTGGAGGTTTTCCAGCACACAAACAATCTCCTATCAAGTTCCCAGTACCTTTATCTTGATGGAGGGCTTCTGTCTTATGTGTGAAAAGTCTGTTTTTATGAGTAGTCGGAAAAAGAGAAGAATTCCTGTTGTGAAATCCTTTCACTGAGTAGTTTGTTAAATGTTCTGGCAGTCCTTTCTCAGCACCTAAAAATACATATCAATAGAATACTGTCAAATATTTACTAGTTTTCTAACTCCTAGAAAGTTGTAAATATTTACATTTACCCGGACTGTCAATTACATACAATGGCATTTTCAATAAAGCCATATTCATTCAGTAATAAGCCCACCCACATCTGTTGTAGTTTTGGTAGATTAATGCCAAATTATATGTCATTGTCCTGTAATTAGCTCTGTTCATTACTTTGAGTCAGAGACTACATAGTGTTGACTTCAAAGACTTTTTTGTTTTTTGTGTCTAGGTATCATTCAAACCATGTATATGGGTTAAGTGACTCATAATATTGATACATTAGTGCACTCTGACTGTAGATAATAATAATAAATTTATTCAGGAAAGATCTGCACAAATGTATACAAAGCATGATAAATAAAATACATGTTACATAGTACATAAGGTGAAAAATTGACATAAATAAAAAAATGCAACACCGGAACATAAAATCACAATAAAGACAGCTGATATATATGTTAAACAAATCTATCCAAGGATAGCCCAAAAAGCTTAACAATATAAGCTTATTTCCGTTGGGGTCCTGGGCATAAACATTAGATCTTATAATGATTATACTGGTGTGAATGACTGTCCGTTACCAGCTGATGCTCGACCACAAATAATTTGTTGGAATTTCATTTCAACAAAGTGTCATGAATTTTGGCTTTTCTTCCATCACAAAAATATATATGAACCACATGTCTTGCACTATACATACTTATCATCTATGTATCTTTGGAATGTGTGGCATAAAAAAATCAAACGTTTGCATTTCACCATTTGATTGGTTCCAAACAAAACACCTGATCATAGCTAGGCTTAGCTTACACCTGTTCTTTGAAGACTATAAAGAAACACTATGCAAATCTGGTTGGTTTGGGGCTGATCTGTAGTAATGTCATTAGATTGTTTTTGCAACAGTTTCTCCTCTCTGCTAAATGTATTTTCGGTGTAAGGTGTACTGTACAGAGTTCTAAATCTACTGAAACATGCATGTATTCTGAGGGTGCAGAAAAGATATGTATTGTATATAAAAGGAACTTATTTCTGCATCTCTTGGTCAGTTCATGGATTATCACGCTGGAGATCCTGGTTTGATTCTTGCCAGAGCAATTCCCTAGAATATGTTTCTGCCTGTTCTATTGTAGATTAGCCACATTTGCACAGTACATGGCAGAGTGAAAAAATACTACAACAGAAGGCATCGCTCTACAGACAAGTTAAAAACATCAAATGGAAAAATTATCACCAACATCAAAAAGAAAGTAAATGCAAAATCCAGTCAGTGAAGTGGACATACATCAACAACACTTTATCAGAGGGACTGAAAAACTATTATCACTAAATCTTCTGGAAATATGTTAAAAAAAACAAGACAATATTGGTGTAGCTCCATTACAAGAGAAAGGCATACTCATCAACAATATTAAAGGCAAAACAGAAATATTGATCAAACAATTAATGTCTATATTTAGCAATAACAACACAGACAATATATCAATGAAAAAGAAATCAAACATGACATCCCAAATCTAGTCATCAATGTGGACAGGGTCATAAATCTATTAAAGAGCCAGACCCACTCCGTTATAGATATTTTTTATATTTTATTGACTGGAAATGTTGTATACTAATAGATAATATATAAATAAAGACTTGTGTAAAGTTTCGAACTTGAAATTGAATGGGTACCAGAGATATCGGTGCCAGAATTAGTCTCATTAATCAACACCAGGATATGAATATTGATGAGGAAAAGTCATGTGATACGTTCAGACACGGTCAGAACCAAAACAAAAATGGAGGAAGAGGTGAGTAGCACATCTATGTGACATCGCTTGTAAAGAGATTTTACCGATAAATGCAATCAATACTCTATATATCCTTTATGGAAATCATCTAACTTATGTATTGATCACATCTTTCAATGCTTAGATATGACACAAAAATGTGCAGATTACAAGAAAAACTATGATTAATTGCATTCCATCTTTCCGTATGCTCGCCAATATAAATCTTTGCCTTTGATATGTCACGGTCTCGTGCAATCTTCCTTCTTTTCGCCTCTGAGTCTGTCAAAACACGTTTTCTTCCCCGCTTGCAACCTTTCTGCCATGTTGGATGATGGCAGATTTATTTAGTTCTTTGCGCATGCATCAGAGGGCAGGACTTCCCGCATGATTATGAATTAGCACTGAGTCATTTCGAATTCTTTTTTAAAACTATTTATTACATTAGATTGGTAGCGATTTACTTTAAAATTACAGTATCAGAGGGTTAGTCCGAACTTTTACTACCCATGAAAAATAGAAAATCATGAATTTTTTTTTTATATAAAATAATATCGGTCGAGGAATTGGTCTGGCTCTTTAAAGGGAAAAAAAAAACATACCAAAAGCTGCTGGTTGGATAAAATACCAAATAAAATACTCAAAGAATGTGCAGAACAACTAGCTCCCTGACTAACATCAAAACATATCAAAATAGATAAAGGCAAGTTATCATAAGACTTGCTCAATTGAAATATATCATGCATCTTCAAAATGGGAGATAAACACTCTGCAGAACACTACAGACCTAACTCCTTAACATCTGTGCCATGTGAGATCCTAGACCATATAATATGCATGCATATATTACTATATCTCAAAAGAAACACCTTCTTAACATCATTAAGGCATGTAAGCATATTAGACCTTTCAAAAACATTTGATACAGTACCTCAAAACAAACTGCTGTACAAATTAACCAATACAGATTCATGGAACCCATTCACTCTTGGCTGACCACATTCTTAACAAATATGAAAATGTGTGTCGTCTTGAAAGGGGAACACTCCAAAGAAGTTACCATATACTCTGGAGTCTGACAAGGGACATTACCTATTCCTGTGTCATATCAATAACCAACCAGGCTCGGTTAAGTCATCAGTTCAGTTATTTACAGCTGACTGTCAACTTTAAAGGAATTTACAAAAAAAATTCCAGACCATGTGACCCTTTAAAATGACCCAAAAAAACCTGGAAATTGGGGCTGAAGAATGAAATTTAGTGTCAAAAAGTGCTAGATACACAGCATTGAGAACCAATTTCAAAACTTATATACTTTGAACAGACACTTTCTCCAACAAGTACAACACAATCTTTATCTTGGCCTCTTAATTTCAGAAGACCTTAAATGGAATAAGCATATAATGAACATGACCAGGAGAGCAAATTTGACACTAAGCTTCCTAAGACAAAACCTGCATCATTGTAACAGAAAAAAAAATGCTGGTAACATTTGTTATCTTTACCCATCAGCTGATGATCATCAATGATTGATCAGTTATCCATAATTAACGTGGAAGAAACAGTATGCCGAAATCAAAAGAGTAATCTGCAGACTTTACAGTACTGTGAACCAGTCAATGTCAACTGACAAACTGCTGTGTTGGACTTGGAGGATAAACTGACATTTTGATGCTTTCATATTTGCACCCTCAGAATACATGTATGTCATAAAAAATGTAGAACTACAAATGGTTGAGCCTTGTTATCTTTTTATGTCAAAGATGTATTTATGATAGTTATTTGAAATACGACATGTAACGCCGACGTTGAAGTAAGTGAATATCGCAACTATAAGAGAATATACATACAATTCGCTTGTGTGAAATCCACTGTTCGGACAGACGCCATATTGTTTACATTCTGACAAGTGCTTGCCGACGCAGAAAATGTTGTCGAAAAAAAATGAAAAACAAATAGTTTTGTTGGCAATTACCTTAAGTAACTTCAAAGTAAGGCGTAATAAATATTATACTATTTGATATATATTTTCATAAAATTTACGAATTATTTTATTTATAAGGATGATTCGGGCAAAACACCGGCATGTGATCTTAATCAGGAGAGCGCTTGACTTTTGAGGAGAATAGTTTACAGAAGATAAGGTTTCATCTCATTGAGACTTTCTTTAGTCACAGCTGTCTGCTTGGTCCAAAAAACCCTAGGAAAAGTCGTTACGATTTCTACAGAAAGATGTCAAAATCGAAAAACATAGTAAGTTTAGTTTGTATTTTCGTCATGTTCTTTCGAATTAATCGAAGCTAAGCCCGTGTTCATTTGTATATTTTAGGAAAACAACACTTTGGCTTAGAACTCATTTTTGCATGTCATGACAATCTGCGATGCTACTGCAATGCGTAAAGTCTAATTTTATTCATTGACACACTCTCGAGAATATTCGACGACGGAAAACACAATTATATACGACAATTTCAACCTGATTTATCCGATTCCATGGAGCCTACTGTAACATTCAAATGGGAATAATTCCCACTTTCATAATAAAGCCTACTGTTGACTAATAATCATCGGGTTATTATAGACACGTATGATGGGAGTACTGCTAACTCCACTGGTAAGTTATATGATGGAAACCCATAGTTGATACAATGATTGTACACTTTATTTTGTTGATTTTATGTATGTATTTTCTTACACTCCACAGATTGTTCGTGTTCAGTCTCCAGATCATGGAACCAAAAGAGTGGAGGCCAGACAGAATGAAACAATTGCTGATTTCTTGAACAAGGTAGCAAACTTTACGTCAAAGAAAGATGTCATAAACTGACAAAGAAAAAAAAACATGATATGTTGTATATACAACAAAATGATACAATCTTTCTGGCAGTAGAAATTTGTATTGTAGCATGCTGTGTATGTGTTCCCATTAATTTGAAGTTAGGTCATATTGCACCATCCCCGAAGAAAAGTTAAAAATGAAACTTTGAAACGGTAGGCTAATATCAATAACCTGTGAAATTAGTATGTAAAGTAGTTGGTAACATCATGAACCATAATGGCCAAAAAAACATCGTAAATGGCTTAAATGACATGTAGATAGACCTGTATCTGCTTTTCGAATTCTTAGATGCTGTCATAAAAATCTAGGTAATAGGGATCAAAATGAAATGTTATAATCCATTTCGCAAGATTATCTGATACTGTTACTGCCGTATCAGCAAAAAAGGGTGGATTAAAATCCTTTGTTTTAGGAGGCAGGCTGTTATTTTAGAAAGGAAATGACGTTATTAAAAGGCATCCATCAGGACTCAGATTAAGATTCGCTTCCTTTTGATTTTCCTTGATAATCCCAAAATTCCACTTGTTGTCTCATCACTGATGATACCATATTGCATACCTTACAATAAAATCTTCAACTTATGTCTTCACCTTCAACAAGACCTGGACAAATCATCACGTTGGAAAAATTCATTGAAAATGTCCTTCCGCTCCTACAAATTGCAATGTCTATTTCTAACAAAAATATATATAATTATATTACACGTAATCTTATGACAAGGTGTTAAATCATGTTGATTAAGTGATCAATGATACTCATTGGAACCTGAAATGGGAATCAGAATCAGTATCAACAATATCGACATTAAAGCAAACTCCAGTCTGGGTTTTGTCTGAAGGAACTTTTGAGATCATGTACCGTCAAGGAGCAGGCATATAAAACCCAATAGTAAGAACATGTTTGCTCAGTTGAGGTTCCATATACCACAAAAAGATGAATAGAATTGATACTGAAAAGAAAGACAAGATATGTCTCAAGCACAGATATATTTATTAATCAGCCATAATTTGTTATAGAGACCAACTTTATTCAATTTAAAAAGTATTGTCTATTATGTGTGCTTAAAAGATCACTACCTGTCTTCTCCAGTAGACCTATGAATAAGGATGAAAAATTTCCTGAATGGTTGAAGTCCATGATTTGTACTACAGGTTTTTAGGGACTCTCCTATATAGATACATTGTTTGGGGAGTTTCAAAATATAAAAGGTAATACTGTAATTCATAGATTCCAGATTTTTCTAGTGCATTTAAGGTAGTCCTGTATCATTTTGTGAGATTCCTGGCTCCCAGCATACTACATCAAGAGATAATTACATGTTTGTACTTGTAGCAAGATACTCATTTTATGGTGGCAGACTAGATTACAAGGAAAACAACAGAAAAAAAAAGAAAAATAATGTTCATGTCAACCAATTCCCAGATAATTTCATAAATAGTTTTACCAAAAATGGAAAACAGCTTATAAGGAATTGAGAAATTTTCAGATTTAAACTTTTCTTTTCTTTACAGCTTCAAGCTGAGTTTGGACTAGGTGACACAGGATGGAATGTTTATAAATCCAGGGACAAGAAAGACTGGATCAGAACATCCCGTGCTAGAACACTGGACTCCTACAAAATAAGGTAAAACAGTGTTTGAAAGTATATTGTTTGATTGAGAAATTAATATTATCTAAATGCTTGTGATGCTACATTTTAGCTGTCTTTTACTTTTACCCCATTTGTGATACACTGAAGTTAATGACGAGGTGGTTAGCTTTCAGACCTTAAATACAGTTTATGTTTGAAATTTCAAGTATTGTGAATGTGTTATTTTACCCAGGTTTATAAGCAATTAATATGCACAAAAAGCAATGTGTATTGAATTGATTCTAATTGATGTTGTAGACATGGGGACATGCTGTATTTATTTTTGTCTGGCAAGACAACAAAAAATCAGGAGTTCTCTAACATAGGACAGAATATTACGGTATCAGCTGGCTCCTCCCAGATGTCATCTGGTTTGGTTTTACCCATACCAGGTCAGGGAGTTGTTGAGGATGAGGTGGACCAGATTCTGGACAAAGAGGATGGCAAGATCTACAGAAAACGCAACGAACAGCTGTGAGTACTGACATAAGAGATTGGTACATAGGCAGTAGATAAGGCCAACAATGACTGCTGAAGCTCGGAGTCATATTTTAGATTGTTGCACAGAAACTCTCTGATAACGTGAGAAAAATAAACTTTTGAATATTAATTTTTTCATTAAAATTTGGTGTTACTTAATATGAATTTATTTACAGATCACAATAAACAAAATAAAATCCTTTTATTCCATCAGATTATCTGACAATATTCTTTAAACTGACTAACATCTAACCAATAAATTTTGCTGATATCATCGGACAGATGTTGTCCAGTTATCTCTACCTTCATTCAATATTCTTTGAAGCAAGCATAAGGGTTTATCAGACTCTCAATATGCAGATTGTGTCCTACTTCGAGGTAATTTCCTCCCTGAATTTTATAGCAATTTGTATGTACCCTGAAAATATGGTTATGTAATCTCAGAACTTGGAACGATATTCAAGATTTGTCCTACACTCAGGGAAAATTATACACATTTTGGCTATGGTAAACAAGCTGTAGAAGGGGCGAAAAAAAAAAACCACTTAGGAATATTTTGATTACAGATGACTAATTGCTTTGTATTATTTGATTTTAGATGTCATCATGGTCCACAAGGAAAATGTTTGCACTGTGTACCACTAATGGTAAGTATAGAGATATTATAGACATTCATTATTCTTTTTTTCACACTTATCAGTTACCAAGGAAAATTATTCATAAGGCATTGCCTGTCTACTACAATGTATTTCATTTTCTGATGAAATAGGGATATTTGTAATCTCCATTTTGATACTCCTGTGAATTGTATTCTAGTTAGCATTGTATTTGCTTAAATTAATATGTTTTATAAAGAACATTCCTCAATTTATAACACCATCAGATTCTTTATACCAGACAGAAATTTGTTTAAAAAAAATAGACTGCAGTAATGAATTTATGAAGATTTTTTTTGAAGTATACAAAATTCTTCTTCTTCAGCCCTATGATGAGGAATTTCTACACAGCTGTGATCCTCCAATCAAATTCCTCTCCTTCCACTCACACTTACGTAAACTGACCGGCGGTGTGGACAAGTATGTACCACTACATATTTCTTCTTCATCAAAAGTTCTTTGCAGAATTGCATAAATGTCACTTTTAGAATAGATGCTTTCTTCAAATTATTTGAGTTGAGAAAGTAAAGATTTGCATATATGTTTACTTTTGTGTTGTCCAGGGGGAAATTTGCTTTCTTAGAGAATATTAGCTGTAAAATAAAGACCGGATGCACAGAACATCCACCGTGGCCAGGAGGCATCTGTACAAAATGTCAGCCTAATGCAGTTACGCTTAACAGACAGGTAAAGAGTGTGACAAGGTTTTGATGCGTTTATCATTGGCAATATTTGCCAACACTTAAAATGTTGAAGAATGATTTTTAATGTATTGTAATACGAAATAAGAAATTGTGTAAATAATGTTAACCAATACCATACTGCTGATACACCTTATGGTATTTCTTCTGTATGGTACTGGAATATCGGAAACTTTAAATAAGAGACAGTATCCTTTCTGATGGAAATCAAAACTAGGATATGCAGTAATTTTTCACGTAGAGTTATAGGCAAATTTTTATCTTAATTAACATTTTCTATGTCTGACATAAAGCAATGACCAAGTAATAGAGATTTACTTTCTGAACTAGCCAGATGAGTGATGCAGGCCCCTTGGGCCTCACGTTCTTGTATCAAAAAAATACCTGGGAATAAGTAAAACCTATTTCATGTATTTTTTACTTACAGAAATACAGACATGTAGATTACATAATGTATGAAAACGCATCTATTGTTGACCGTTTCCTTAACTTCTGGAGGACAACAGGCAACCAAAGGATTGGCATTATGTATGGAAAGTATGAACAACACAAAGACACCCCATTGGGTATAAAGGCCACTGTTTGTGCTATCTATGAACCACCGCAGGTAATTAAGGGACTTCAATGATAATTAAAAAGAGTTATTGCTAATTTAAACTCAAATGTTTAGATATTTTTTACACCAATTATGTTTCAGGTTGGATTTCTAATTTCAATTTATTTTAATTAATGAACTTTTTAAACATATTGTGACAATTGAACTTTACTATTTACCAAGGTCTTTGATATTAGAAATTTTAAGTCTGTCACTTCACATTTAATGTGTATTTCTCAATTTATTGTTTATTTTATTTATTTTCTGATGACAGTCCTCTTGCTTTAATAGTTTACAAGTGTATCAATATGATGGGTGATATGTTTTGTTAACATGATTGTTTGTTTAAAAGAAACATCTTCAAGAAATATTTTTACTTTGTGTTTCAGGTAAATTCAAAGAGCAGAGTTGAACTTCTGGATGACCCAAAAGAAGACCAGGTCAATAAAGTGGCAGATAGACTGGGTATTGGTCCAGTTGGCTGGATTTTTACAGACCTCATTGCTGACGATCTTGGAAAGGGCACTGTGAAGCACTTCAGGGGAAATATTGTAAGTAGAGGGATCATTCTTAATATTGTTCTGTTTGATTTCTTGTAGTTTGATAAATTATGTAGGTTATTGAGTCTATCAAGTCTGATTGGTGCTTAGAACATTGTAACTACCTTTACAAATAACTGTACCTGTACTTGTATAGCTGGTAGTATTAGAGATTTGAAAATTCTTTTTTAGGTATGATTGTAATGTAACTTGTTTATATGTATTAGGGTCACTTTTCGATATTTCTCACATCGTTATTCTGCATAAACTCTGTCACCACTGTGTTAGATTTGTTTTTCATTAAATTTGTTTCATTGATCCTACCGATTCAAATGCTTGCTAGCTGAATCAGGAATTATTGTGATTTCAATAGTTAGTTTAGATATTTCAATAGTTAGTTGAGATATTTCAGTAGTAAGTTGAGATATTTCAATAGTTAGTTGAGATATTTCAGTAGTAAGTTGAGATATTTCAGTAGTTAGTTTAGATATTTCAGTAGTTAGTTTAGATAATTCAATAGTAAGTTTAAATATTTCAGTAGTAAGTTGAGATATTTCAGTAGTTAGTTAATTTAACAGTTAGGTTAGATATTTCAATAGTTAATTAATTCAATAGTTAGTTTGTATAATCAATAGTTAGTTTGTATAATTCAAAAATAAGTTTAAATATTTCAAAAGTTAGTTTAGATAATTCAATAGTAATTTTAGATATTTCAGTAGTTAGTTGAGATATTTCAGTAGTCAGTAGTTAGTTGAGATATTTCAGTAGTTAGTTTAGATATTTCAGTAGTTAGTTTAGATAATTCAATAGTAAGTTTAAATATTTCAGTAGTAAGTTGAGATATTTCAGTAGTTAGTTGAGATATTTCAATAGTTAGTTGAGATAATTCAATAGTAAGTTTAAATATTTCAGTAGTAAGTTGAGATATTTCAGTAGTTAGTTGAGATATTTCAATAGTTAGTTGAGATATTTCAATAGTTAGTTGAGATAATTCAATAGTAAGTTTAAATATTTCAGTAGTAAGTTGAGATATTTCAGTAGTTAGTTTAGATATTTCAGTAGTTAGTTGAGATATTTCAGTAGTTAGTTGAGATATTTCAGTAGTCAGTAGTTAGTTGAGATATTTCAGTAGTTAGTTTAGATATTTCAGTAGTTAGTTTAGATAATTCAATAGTAAGTTTAAATATTTCAGTAGTAAGTTGAGATATTTCAGTAGTTAGTTGAGATATTTCAATAGTTAGTTGAGATATTTCAGTAGTTAGTTTAGATATTTCAGTAGTTAGTTTAGATATTTCAGTAGTTAGTTGAGATAGTTTAGTTGAGATATTTCAGTAGTTAGTTTAGATATTTCAGTAGATATTTTAGTTTAGATATTTCAGTAGTTAGTTTAGATATTTCAGTAGTTAGTTTAGATATTTCAGTAGTTAGTTTAGATAATTCAATAGTTAGTTGAGATATTTCAGTAGTTAGTTTAGATATTTCAGTAGTTAGTTTAGATATTTCAGTAGTTAGTTTAGATATTTCAGTAGTTAGTTTAGATATTTCAGTAGTTAGTTTAGATAATTCAATAGTTAGTTTAGATAATTCAATAGTTAGTTTAGATATTTCAGTAGTTAGTTGAGATATTTCAGTAGTTAGATATTTGAGATATTTCAGTAGTTAGTTGAGTCAGTAGTTAGTTTAGATATTTCAGTAGTTAGTTGAGATATTTCAGTAGTTAGTTGAGATATTTCAATAGTTAGTTTAGATATTTCAGTAGTTAGTTGAGATATTTCAGTAGTTAGTTTAGATAATTCAATAGTAAGTTTAAATATTTCAGTAGTTAGTTGAGATATTTAGTAAGTTTAAATATTTCAGTAGTAAGTTGAGATATTTCAGTAGTTAGTTTAGATATTTCAGTAGTTAGTTTAGATATTTCAGTAGTAAGTTTAAATATTTCAGTAGTAAGTTTAGATATTTCAATAGTAAGTTTAAATATTTCAGTAGTAAGTTGAGATATTTCAGTAGTTAGTTTAGATATTTCAGTAGTTAGTTTAGATATTTCAGTAGTAAGTTTAAATATTTCAGTAGTAAGTTTAGATATTTCAATAGTAAGTTTAAATATTTCAGTAGTAAGTTGAGATATTTCAGTAGTTAGTTTAGATATTTCAGTAGTTAGTTTAGATATTTCAGTAGTAAGTTTAAATATTTCAGTAGTAAGTTTAGATATTTCAATAGTAAGTTTAAATATTTCAGTAGTAAGTTGAGATATTTCAGTAGTTAGTTTAGATATTTCAGTAGTTAGTTGAGATATTTCAGTAGTTAGTTTAGATATTTCAGTAGTAAGTTTAAATATTTCAGTAGTAAGTTTAGATATTTCAATAGTAAGTTTAAATATTTCAGTAGTAAGTTGAGATATTTCAGTAGTTAGTTTAGATATTTCAGTAGTTAGTTTAGATATGCTGTTTACAGTGATCTAATAAAGACTATAGGAAGTAGCATCAAGTTGTAATGCATGGTTAAGATAATGTCAGCAGATTATTATATCATTTGTATTTTCCAGAATTCACATTTTCTGAGTGCTGAAGAATGCATCATGGCAGCTGATTTCCAGAACAAACACACCAATCCATGTAAACTAGCTACAGAAGGCCACTTTGGCTCCAAGTTTGTCACAGTTGTAGTCACAGGTAAAGATGTCATTACTGACACTAAAGAAGACAAATTCATAGATAACTTACAAGGTTGGGAATTTCACATTGATATGATATCTGTGATACCATTTTTGTTGCTGAAGTAACCTACATTAACAGTAGCATTGTTGTTCACTTAAGTATTGGTTAAGGAAAGAAAATTGTTTTAAACTGAAATTCAGTTTGATCTTGTATGAACCTGTCAAGGAACAATGTTGCTGGTTATAAAACCAGGGAGACAATACTTTCAGATCATGGGATGAACTTTTTACACAATAAGGAAACCACAATTGTTGGTAATTCTAATGAAAGACAGAAAATGGATGGGCTTATCACCAGGCATGGGCTTATCATTGGATAAACATGGTATTCAGTTTTTTGGGTCCTGAATAAAGCAAGTTTGACTGTACCAATAAATTGTTTCTCTATAAGTGACATACATCATATACCACCAGGTGATGCAAGTAATCAGATCCATTTTGAGGGCTATCAGGTATCCAACCAGTGTATGGCATTAGTAAGGGATGATTGCCTGATACCCACTAAGGATGCTCCAGAACTAGGCTACGTTAAAGAATCGTCGGACAAGCAGTATGTGCCTGATGTATTTTACAAGGTAAGATTTACTTGTATAATTCCATTTCTGTTTCAAAAACCAATCAATCATAACATATGTGTATGGTTGTAATATTGTTAATGACAGAATATTGTCATCAGAAGATTTTACATGTCATGTTTCTTTACAAAAATTCATTTCAATACTTTATGAGATATCAACTTAATTTTAACATTGTCTTATCTTTAATTTATTGCCTTCTTTCCACTCCCATCCCACTTTTTTGCTGCTATTTCAAATTGAATGAGTTTCATTTTTAATTGCAGGTCAAAGATACTTACGGCAATGAAATAACCCAGCTAGCCCGTCCCTTACCTGTGGAATATCTACTTGTTGACCTGCCTGCAGCCTTTCCACTCACAGCACAATACACATTTAAGGCCCATCTACATACAGAGATAAAACCGTTCCCTCCATCCAACAGGGATCAACTTGGGGAAGCTCAGGTAATATAGCTAATGCACATCAGAGACCAGCAAGGGGTAATGTGTACAACAAAAAAACTAGCCACAAACAGGTCAAAGGTCACATTTACACAAAAAAAAAATCAAGCAGTCTCATTTTCAAAAAAAAAAAATTTAATCTAATGTCTTTGAAGTGGGCACTCCTTGATTTGTTTGGAGCTATGTGATATTTTTTATGTGTAGCAAGGATTTTTGCATATAGAAATTAAAGAAAAAAAATTAAAAACTTAAAACTTTCTTAGTTTGCAAGCAGCTTCAGTTTGAACTTTTAATAATCTTCACTTCTTGCTTCAGGATTTCAATGCTCTGGTGAGTTATTTGCAGCAGTTTCCTCCAAACCGATTCCTTGAAGCCATGTCCGACTTCCATATCTTGATATTCCTTGGAACCTCTGATATGTTACCAGTACAGGTATGTGTACAAATCAAATATATCTCTATGAAATCACATTTTCAGTTCAAATATAAAACAGCTTGAAACTTGTTTTGGAATTGCTGATGTGAATTGTCATTTCAGATATTGAGTGCTAATACTATCAGGAAATATCAACTTAATTCTTTTTAGATTTTCAAGGTAAAAAGAAAATGCCAGGAAACATTTTGGGTTTTTATCAACATCAATTTGGCATTAGACCATGAGATAGCATATGTTTGTTCTGAAAGTTATATTTTAGTAGTAAGAATAATTCTTCTTTCTAAACACTAAGTTATTTTCTAGCTGTTGAAATGGTAAAAAAATACAAATTGTCAAAAGGTGGGTTTTTTTTCTCTCTTTTAATTACAGCTCTACTCGCTTTAAAAATTTATGATGTTATTGATATCTTGACAGGAGAAAATTGGAATGCTATTAGATGCTGTTAAAACAAATGATGAGAAACTTGCTTCTGATTTCAAAAAGACAGAAGAATGGGCAACAGTAGAGGAGATGATGGCTGCTCATGGTAAGTGAATCAAAGAGTTGCCCTAAATATAAATGTATCGGTAAATGTTCCTGCATAAAGACGTTATAAACAAAGGTGTAGAATTCAAGCATGAAGGTCATCAGAACACTTGCGTTTGATCGGTGAGATTATACCTGGCAAAAAGGAGGAGTCATGGAGACGGAAAACCTGTAACTATCGAAATGTTGGATTTTATGCCAGAACTACCCAGTGTTTTTAATACTCTGATCACTCCCTTGTAATACCTACCATGGGACAAGCCTTACAGTCGTATGTCGTTATCTCGAACTCCTATTAAATTGATTACGAGGATAATCTCCAATTTTTCCAACGGTCAAGCCGACTTCAAAATAATGAAGTTTGACTGGTTGTTTTATAAAAGGAGAGGTCTTTCCTTGGGGTTTTGGTATTAAGTAGGATAATATAAACTCTTTGATGAATTATTCATGAAATAACTATAATGTACCTGCATAGCCTGTTAATTAGGAAAATGCACCAATTGGATATGAGTGTTTAAAAAATGCTGAAATTAATAATTTTAAAATGTCTTAGAATTTTAAAGTTCATTAAAATGTTTTTTTGTTTTTTTTTAATTTTCCAAAATAAATTATATTAATTCATTTAAATCCTAAAGATTGAAAGTTGCTTATGCTAACTGTATCTTTTTAATTGATGTTCACTGTAAATGAACCACAATCATACTTGTTACACTATAGCTCTGATAAGCTGAAAAGGAAAAGCACACTTTTGATAAAAGTCTTATAAGCAATGTTGAGGATGATAATGACGATGTACTCTGAATCTTTCACTGAAGATAATGAAAACTCCTAGCATTATACAATATACATGTATAAAGGAGATATTTTGATCCGTTCCAGAACCATCTCCAGGCCTGTCCAGGGAAAGATCATATGTAGGACCCGGAGCATCTCCCCTCCCTCCCATCGGGGCATCACCGGGGACATCTTGGACATGTGCACACTGCACATTTATAAACTCTTCGGACAAAAGTGCCTGTGATATGTGTTCATTACCAAAGTAATTTGCATCGCGTGTGTGTGCTTGATGTCAATGAACAACATTTAAAGATTGAAAAGTATTTATATTTACTTAAAAGAAGACGAAAGAAAAGTCTTTTGCTAGACCGTTAACAATGAATGAAGTTTCACTAAACATCACCTGCGCATGTAACCCTATTTACTTGTTGAAATGTGTACGTGAAAATGACTTGACTTCTGCAAAACAGATATATTGAGATCCTGTAAGGCCTTGATAGATTGTTTTTGTGTTCAGATCCATTTGTTAATCATTCCAACCTTCAGATCAGCAGAGTTTTAACAATACATCAATTTCTCTCTTTGTTTCTTCAAACTTTAAATCTTTCAAACGTTAAGATATGATTTTTATCAAAACAGCTACTAATCAGGAAAAATCTGTATAGATGTAGTATTTATTTTCTATCACTTATAATGAGTTCAAACCTTGTACTTCACTTATTTATACCTAGCCAGTTTGAGTCATATTGCACACATTTGTACAGTTGTAGCCTTACTTGTTTCTGATTAAACTAAGTGTGGATAGGTCTTTTGATTCTTTCATCTTTGTTATTGACATATATGTCTTATTTTTTTTCATGTTTATTTCATGTACACAAATATAGCAAGGTTTGTAAAATGTATTGAAGGTGTGACATTACAAATACTATACAACATTTCAGGACACACTTTGTTAGACACAATCCTAAGTATTGTGTTTTTTAAACATTCTCATATTTCAATCATATTATCAAACAAATTCTTAAATAAAATGCACATCTCTCTTAGGTCTGATGAAAGTTTCAAAAAGAATTTTTTTTTTTTTTTTTTTTTTTGAAGATCATCATTTACAAAGTTGAGCAACATAAACGTCTGTCATTTTTCAGGGCTTTTACTTTCACTGTTTAATAATTCAATTGTAAAAATAAAAAAAAATCTGAAGTGGAAATTTCTGTATCTTAATGTTAAGGTCTGTGAAAGAATATATTACCAGACCAGAAAACAACTTTAGATGGGAAGAAGATGTAAGGAGCAAGTTTAGCATGAATCCATATCAGAGATTTCATTCTTAAATTTACAAAGAAAAAAATTGCATCTGTCAGAGAACAAAATGTCTTTGCATTTATAAATACCTTGTAGCATTTTTTTTTTCAGTTAAGTGAAATATTATAAAGAACAGATAGCTTTATTGTGAATTAATAACGATGTATAGAAATCATGAATATTGACCGTGTTAGTGCATTGTGATTTATTATCAGGATACTCTTCAGTGTTGGTTATATACATGTAAGATGCAGAAATGTAATGTAGAAAAACATGGTATGAACTAAATATACATACTACAGTATTATTGAATTAAAAAAAATCAGTGAAAAAAGAGTGAGGGTATGGTATGGGTTTATCACTGAATAGTACACTATTTTGGAATGGAAATAAGATGCAAACTGAGATTTTTTTTTTTTTTTTTGCTTTTTGCAAATGATATAAAAGCACCTTTAACATTTTCCAGACTCCAGACATTAGATATATCAACATGGTGAAAGTATAATTCTAAGACTTTAATAAAGTACTTTCAGACACAGACTTCAGTAAGTCAGTGGTTAGTGCATTTTTTCAAATGTCAGATATAATTACAGAATGTAAGTACAGCATCAACCAGTGTGCAATCTTATGGGGTCAGATTTTTACCTTTGAAATTTGTCTCTCCCTGCAGACAGGTTGAGTATGCTTAATGTTATTAAAGTAGAGTTTGAATTACACTTTACTTGTAAATAGTACTGATCTTTTGTTCTCGATATTTATATACAATTTCTTCACTAAGAAATAGAATTAATTTTTGTAATCAAAGTCATTGTCAAAGACACAGAACAGGAGGAGATAACTCATAGCTACTTCTCAATAACAGTTTATACCATTACGGAATTAATTATAGGTCTCTGATTAAAAACTTTCATTGATTTTTCTTTGCTCCATTTTTCATATTTGTGCAGAATTCCTAATGCCATCATATGTCTATTAATTGTATTTCATACTTTGGTATAAAAAGACATTCCCAAATCACATAAGTTTTAAACTTAAAAAGAAATACAAATATCAATGGTTTATCTTGAACTGGTTAGGTTCGCTACATTCTTTCCGAGTTTTGTAAATTAGTTATTGAGTGAAATGAAAACAATTCTGTAAAGATTATAAATATATATAGCATTGGAAGTCAATTTGTTTTAAGAAATGTTATTTATCTTCATGGTATATTTGAAAGTAGAAAGTTTGAAATCAAAATATGAAGCAATGATTAAATTCCTTGGATAAATGATACATTGTTTTCTATAATGTCCCATTAAAATTGGGAAATTTAAGATGCTATACATGTACGAAATGTCCCATTATTTCTTTTGTCATGTCCCAACTTTTAAAAATGTATATAAATCACTGACAAAGTATCAAAGCACATTTTAACAACAGCAACCTCAATCCCTTGTGAAAAGTCCAGAGAGACACACATTCTGATCTCATTTGCCTTTATCCTATATAACAACCATTAAATGCAGGATTTGGAATTTAAGAAAGAATTAATTCTAACATGAGTACTTTCCATCCTACATCCTCCTTAGAGAGAGCCTCATTTTGACCTCAGTGACCCTTCCTACTCGACAAGAATGAATGTTTTTGGGAGCCTCATTTTTAGTAGCATATGTCCATTTACATGACTAAATATAATTAGAGATAGAGTCTAACCTCATGCCCCTCTTTTCAATGTGTTGCTCCCTGAAGTTACAGCTTGAAATGTTACAGTAGGATGAAGCCTCACATTTCTGTAGCCAATCTTTATAGAAGCGAAACAGTCAATGTTGTGTCACTAAACATTACAACATCTGATTTTGTTTCAGAAACTAAAATGTACATACTTTTGTAATTAACATATCCTCATAATCAACTGTTTTCAAATTTTGAAACATGTACATACCTCATGGTCACTGAGAAATACATTTTGAATTTTGTTTCATCTACTGTTTTGTAGGATACGTTATCATAAGTATGAATACATGTTCAAAACATGTTATTTGTGTGGTATGTAGAAATGCCAATAAGATTTCTGCGATTCTTATTTTCTCTGAAAGGAATTTTTGGTATACTCTTGGTTAAGACGATACCTAGAACATGTGGTATTTTTTTTTTCAAACTGAGTAACAATGATTGCAATTTTAACTAAGTTATGTAAGAAATTAATGTAATACATTAATGACCATTTTGTTGCAATAATACTTCAAATATAGTGCTATCTGTAATGAGTACCCTGTGTAAATAGTTACTACCTTACAGTGTGTAGAATATTGCATACCTACCTTGCCCTTGATAACAGGAACATTGGCTAAATATAATTTATTAAGGACAGATAAATAATCATACCTGTACTTATACCTAACACAAAGGCTTAATATCAATCTATAACTAAAGAGCAACAGTAAAGATGGCTCATTTTCTTAAGTAACCTTCAGTGGTGAAAGTACAACCATGGGAACCGTAACAAGAGAGAGAACTATGATGTACCCTTACTGGACCTTGATGTACCCTTACTGGACCTTGATGTACCCTTACTGGACCCTGATGTACCCTTACTGGACCGTGATGTACCCTTACTGGACCTTGATGTACCCTGACTGGACAATGATGTACCCTTACTGGACGATGATGTACCCTTACTGGACGATGATGTACCCTTACTGGACGATGATGTACCCTTACTAGACCGTGATGTACCCTTACTGGGCCGTGATGTACCCTTACTGGACCCTGATGTATCCTTACTGGACCCTGATGTACCCTTACTGGACCCTGATGTACCCTTACTGGACCCTGATGTACCCTTACTGGACCTTGATGTACCCTTACTGGACCATGATGTACCCTTACTGGACTCTGATGTACCCTTACTGGACTCTGATGTACCCTTACTGGACCCTGATGTATCCTTACTGGACCCTGATGTATCCTTACTGGACCCTGATGTACCCTTACTGGACCTTGATGTACCCTTACTGGACCCTGATGTACCCTTACTGGACGATGATGTACCCTTACTGGACCGTGATGTACCCTTACTGGACGATGATGTACCCTTTCTGTACGATGATGTACCCTTACTGGACCTAGATGTACCCTTACTGGACCTATATGTACCCTTACTTTCCAACAAGATAAAATTTGTATTAATCCAATATAAAGGTTCTTGGCCTAGTAAATCTACATGAACATCAAAGCTTGTCATGAATAGGTCATTCATGTATTTAGGCTGCTATGAAAAAACTACTCATCATTCTTGTATTCTCAATTCCTTACTCAGAATAACTCACACCAACATCATTTTCATTAATCTAATGCTTTTTCTATCTTAAGTTTTAATATCTTTTATTCCATGAGTTTCACATCAGTTACAAAACGAACATGATGTGTTGGCATATTTTCTTCCAACATCATATCTGCAGTGTTGATATTGCCTAACTTAGAATGCTTAACTTATCTACTATTTTGTATTTTGTGCTCAATAACAGAATTTACCTGGTATGTTTTGTTAGTATGAATGCTATAGAAATAAAATGTTCTGTCTGGAATCTGTAAAAAACTTGTTCAGTTCACTCATATACTCAATATTTATGCTTTTCTTAAGCATTCTGTATATACACTGATTTCATAACATGTCTTGATTCCAATCGCCTCAAATGAGTTGGTCTTGGATTAAGCTAAGTCTACATCATTACATATACATCCTGTTGAAAGAGTTAACAATAATCTGTCACATTTGTTTCAAAATGCTTGAACTTCTGGAATATCCTGATGATGAGAAATAGTCACAAAAAGTAGATGAATATCACAAGCCAAACGTTTTGTTTTCTGATGTTAAACGGACCAAGAATTAGAAAGAATATTCTATAAAAAAAATATTTGTTTCCTGATGTTAAAAGAACCAAGAAATAGAAAGAACATTATTATTTTAAAAAAGTATTTATTTTCTGATGTAAAAAGGACAGATAGTTGAAATCAAATGCAGTTTCGAGTAACAGAGATAGACATTGGAAGGAAATATTGCTGAAGATTGAAATAGTATAAGTTGTAGAATGGTTGTTGTACAATGAATATAGATGTACATAAGGACAACTGTATAACTAAGATAACATTTGGGGTTATTACATAATTGACCTGTATCCAGTAATATAGCTTTAAGTAGAGGTGTTTTTGTTCCTGTTTAGCCTAATGATGGACGAACCTTTCTTTTATGTCCTTTACAAGTTAAACAATCTTTTACAAGTTAACAATCTTTTACAAGTTCAACAATTCTAATCTGATCATATGGGAACAGCAGCTGATGGAGAGACTACCAGAGTGCAGACAGGAGAAAGAAAGGGCATATTCAAAGTGTTAGACATTCAGATCAATTTTTTAAATCTATAATATCCACTAATGCATGTGTCGAGTAGCAATAGATCTTGCATACCTTTTACACATTCCTTAGATAATTCTGTTAACTAACAGCTTACCTCTGTACCACCATATGTACATGTAGTCCCAAACATATTTACCTTTAAAGCTTTCAACTGACAATTTGTGTCTTAATCAATCTGTAGTCCGTTTCTCTAACAACTTGAAGCCCCAGATTCTATCAAAATTCATATGTACGAAATGGTTAGATTTTGTTTGTTTTTTCTAGGCATTTTGCATCGATGTATGTGAGAGTTGAAATCATCAGGACTGGTATTTCAAAAATGTTAGAAATATTGAACATAAATTGATCACTTGCAGACAACAATAGACCTCATTGAAACATGTTCTTTGTTTTTGATGTCGGTATTTTATCAATAATGCTTGTGTTACACCGGATATGAAGCGCCAGTCAATAGATCATGTTTCAAACGTCAAGGTCTTGTGGTTTTATTAAACTTAAATTGGTTTACTGATCTGTAATCAGAATTATCTTTGTACAAGGAGTGAATTCAACTATGTACTTACACTAAGATCAGATATGCATGTGACAGGATTAAAAAATTGAACATAGGAAAGAAAATCACCTGATTTTACAGGAACCCTGAGAGATAGGGATTCCTCACGGGATGCACATTAAGTCTCCTCTAACCAGATGCAGTGGGATACAGAAGGCAAATTCTATCACGGGTTAAACACAGTTCCTTATCAGCTAGAAGAACTCAAAGACAGGTTTGTAATTATACAAAAGACAAACAAAACCCCCACATGTTTCAATACTAGACGAACTACACTACATCCATCCTCGATAATCCAGGGGTTACGATCATTTTCGCTCTCTGCACCTTGGAACATGTCATTGCAAAATCGAAGATTCCATGTGCAACACCTTGTGGACAAGACGAAAAAACTAGTGTAATTCTTTGATGTACATCAAACGAATCTTGAGCTCACATAACAGTATAATGTAATGGCTCTGAAGTTTGGTGTCACTTTTTAGCTAACCTGGCCCAAAGGGCCAAATGAGCTTTTGCCATAGCGTCCTACGTCCGTCAACTTTTCATTTAAACAACTTCTTCTGAAATACCGAAAGGTGTATAGTTATCATATTTGGCTGGAAGGTTCCTTTGATGAAGCCCAACAAAGTTTGCAAAAAGAAATGACCTTGACCCATATTCCAGGAGGTCTAGAATCATTATATATGGCTGGCAGGTTCCTTTGATGAAGCCCAACAAAGTTTGCAAAAAGAAATGACCTTGACCCGTATTCAAGGTCACAGAGGTCAAATATGGTATAACCTTTAAACAACTTCTTCCAAAATACCAAGAGGCTTAGAATCATAATATATGGCTGGAAGGTTCCTTTGATGAAGCCCAACAAAGTTTGCGAAAAGAAATGACCTTGACCCATATTCAAGGTCACAGAGGTCAAATATGTTAAAACCTTTAAACGACTTCTCCCCAAATACCGGAAGGTCTAGAATCATTATATTGGGCTACTCTTATGGTGACCTACAAAGTTTGCTAAAAGAAATGACCTTGACCAATCTTCAAGGTCACCGGGGTCAAATGTGTTATACGTGGAACATTTGCACAAATATAGTACTGTTGGTCATAAAGATCCAGATGAGCGAACAGGACCTCGGGGCCTCTTGTTTGTAATCTTCAAAAGGAGTGTATGAGCCTGTGATTGGTCAGTTCTTTTCTCCTAGAACCAATCACGTTACTCCGCTTGTGTCTTCAGTTTAGCCACGACATGTTCCAGGGGTAATCGTAAATCCTAGAGTAACGAGGATGCACTGCATCATACAACGGCTTCCTCCTAAGACTGAAATCTTTGAGGCGAATGAGGTAAAGACACAACAGTGAATAACACCTTTAGATATATATTTAGAACTAGTTACAGTACAGCCAAATATGGATTAAATCACAGAATACAGCTGTTTCGTCCTTCATTGATTTGTTGGAGATTCTAAGGACCTACAATTTAAAACCTGAGAGGTGAATTTGAAAATTCGAATTGAGGAGGTACGCTAACCCTACAATTCAATAAATAAAAAAAAATGTCTATCTATTTATGACAATTTTAAAGAGTGTCAGGTACATGTGTACGTGTATATCCTGTACTATATTAGAATGAATAAAAAATGGCACGCAGGTTACGACAAACGCCGGGAACTGAAAGATTGCCAGCAGTGTCTACCACCTATAATCTCGAAGAGACATGGGCCAGTTCATGTAGACTAACCCCACAATTGAATAGATTCCAAAGTGTTCAATATTGGATTGACCTATCCCAGAACCAAGAGATTAGTCTTCGTTGTTTCACTTAAAAACAAACACACACACACACACACACACGCACCCTCCACCACCACCACCACCACACACATACACACATATATACTGCGAATAATGTAATGGGTCCGGTGTTAGGGATGAACATGTAAATTACCAGAATGTATTCTGCAAATGAGCTCGTGCTGTATAAGCTGCTGAGCAGGTGAACAATACAGGCTCTTGGGACCTCTTGTGTTGATTTTACTACAGTGGACATCACCACTTCCATATACTGTATAAATAAGATGTCCGTGTACTCATGTTTCCTTGGTTGCCTAAGGCATTAGTATACACATAAGTCTTTCACCTATGTCTTATTCGTTTCTGTTTATTTTCGTGGGTTGTCCATGGTAGCAGAAGCAGTGAATACATAACGAAGATTTCGTGTTATAGTTTAGCTCAACAACTTACAATTTGCGCTTATCAACCGACCATATTACAAATCCATCAGATTTTTCATTTACGCGAAGACAAAATGTACACAGCAAAACATACAGATTTGAGTTTTTGCACAATGCAAACCGTCCAGCAAAGACTCAATTAAAAAAAAAATATCTGAAATATTGATCATTAAATGGCTAAGTACAGACAACAATAGGTTCCATTAAAAACAAGCCATTCTTTGTTATGTCGTGTCCTGGTTTACAGTTAATACAGATGTTACATTGGATACAGGTTACTCTACAATAGAAGATTTGTTACATCAATATTTCAAATGTCCGCTCGCATTAGTCTTAATCCACTTAAAAAGGTCCTTCACACAGTGGGAACACAAATCTAACCAAGGCTGTTTTGGAAACTCTTGAATGACCACATCGGCTTTAACGTCATCGTTAAGGTCGATGGTTAGGAGGACACCTAAAGAAGGACATAAAGAACAGTCACAAAGTCAAGATATAAAGGAAAACAACATGATATTTGAATATATGGGTGACAAGGAAATCCCTACTTTCAAGGGTCCTTGTGTCACATAGGGATTCCAATTTCAATGACGGCCACACATTCTATCCCCGCTCCAGCACGGGTTAAACAAAGTTCGTCCTTTATTCAGTTAGGAAACCACTTGGGAAGGTTTTGTTTCTAGTATAAACTTTCTTTTAAACAAAGTCAGTTTTCTATGTAATGTATAAACTTTGACAACGGTAGTCTGTGCATGCAAAGGCTAGTTTAAAACGCACACAGAACGGACGTCACCTTTGAATAAAAGAAACACACAACAGTTTCGTCCTTGTAGAACTAGTCAGTGATGGAACTTGATTTTTAAAATTGGAAAGGGACCGAAGGGGAAAAATGACAAAAATAAATGAAGACCGGATACATATTTTAAGAATTTAACACGGCTTTGTGAAAAAAAGTCACACGTTAGTTGAAGAACTTTCAAGCTTTAGTGTTTAAGTATAGCGGGGTAGAACAACCCAGTGCAGTTGAATTTGATATCTTAATTAACTATACTTATGTGTCTGTCCCT